AGGCAAAACATGAATCCCAATTTATTCGCTGTAGGAAACGAGATGTTTCTGCATAATTACCAAAAACCGCAGACACGAAACAAAACGTGGTGACAGCCCCATTGGGAAGGTGCCACAGCCGGGTCGCTGCCTGGAGGGTGTGGGGCACAGCAGTTCATTCTCACCCTGATAAACAGCTGATTTATGCCATAACATCTCATTACGTGCTGCACTGCCCAGCCCATCCCATATCCACAGCAGACAGGATGCTGGCTGCTGCCACTCGCCTCACTGATGACTGCAGACTGAGCAGCACAGCTGAAAGCTACGAAATTTCATGCTGTGAGGAGCTGCCACCTCCAACCAAGCTGCTTGCTCAGCATTCACCTGCCTGCATCTCTTGTTAAGGTATGTGCTGGCTCCCTGCACTGAACTCACACTGCTCACCACAGGTGCACAGCTTTGTTCTTGTCCTCAAGCATCATCCACAGGCAGTGCTGAATCACATTGTGGCTTTTGAATATGAGAAAGCATTTAATAAAATGCAAACCAACATCTCAGGACTCATTTAAAGCATGACCTAAGTCAGGTCTCCATATGCAGTATTTGTGGAAATAGTATACTCACTTCTCTAAAACCTGGAAGTATAGAAATGTGATTTACAGGTCTCCCAATACTACAAACTCAAATTTACAAGTTTGCCATTTTGGAATCACACCCAAATGTGCCTGCATAACCACAGCCTGCAGCCCATTTACCACAAAAAAGGAAATAAACAGATCCACAACAGACATAGGAAATACTTCAAGACTTGTGCGAACAACTGACACGAATTCCATTTGCTTGCATGTGGTGAAGGTACAAACGTCTATTGCTGAAATATTTAACAGAATTGTACGAGTTCACATTGGCTGTCCACAACTGTCACTGCACAACCTAGGAGGGGCAGGCATGTTTGGATCTCCATCAGGGATGACCACAGCAACTGCACGTTCGTTTTGTTCTCTCACTTTATCTTTCCAGCTTTGGAGAGCATTCTTCCTTATCTTGGAGACGAATGGCCTCCACAGAGAGCTGAGCAGTAGAGCTATTTATCTCTTTGACATGTGTTTCCCTGTTTGTTTTCTCCAGCCTTGAGACAACCAGCTCAGCTCTGACAGTGCACTGTGCCAGTGGCAGAGGGCTGCCCAACCTGTTCACTCCGGTGCTATGAATTCGTTTCCATGCCAATCACTTACTGTAGTAAGCCAAGTTTAATCAATGCTTTCTTCTTGTGATAAAGAAGAAAGTCTCTACAAACTTCTGAAAGAGAGTGGCTGGAATGAGAACAAACAAATCAGTTTGGCCCTCTACTTTTTTTTCTTTCAGAAATGAAGAGGTAGCAATGTCCTGTGGGTGACATTGTCTGCACTGAAGAAAAACAAAAAAGGAGAAAAGTTACCTGATCGTTTCTGATATTCCCCTTGCTGCTTTAACACAGAAATGGAACCTTATTCTTGAAGCACTGCAGTATCAAGCATCTCATCTAACACAAGAGCATCTTCATTGCTTCAAATAGCTCCTGGACATGTGGGACTCCGTCTCTCTCTGCCTATATCTATAATAAAGTTAACTGCTTAATAACAAAAAAAGAAACAAGTTACATTCCCAGCTCCATTTCTCTACTCCCTAGAGTGCTCCATACACATGATCTCCCTTTCTCCAGCAAAACCCCATAGTTTTTCCACTCAGATTTAACTCATACCCAACCTTGCTTTCAGCAGGAAAAGTCTTGTCCAGACTCTGTAGTTCTGCTCCCTTAGGCCTGATTACAATGATGAGCAACAAATGCCTGACAAGTACTGCCTGTGCTGTAAATGAGCTTGGGGGATGTAGGGCAGGATGGAGGGTGTAAAAATCAGAGAGCATTTTAAAACCCAATGGAACAGCCTACACAGGTATTGAATTCCTCATATATCAGCTGATTTCCAGACTGGAAAACCTGCCTGGGAACAATCCCTATGCATTCATCCAAATAATTCCTCTATATAAACTGGACTCCTTGCAGTTCACTGTTCCCAGAACCCACAGCAACTAACCTACTGATACAGGATGTTTTGTTTTCTTCTCTTCCCACTGTTTTTGCTTCACTGATTCAGCAAGCCTCAGTTTTGGCTAAACGAGTTTGCAGAGCTCTCCTTTTCTTTTAAAGGACTTGTGTTCTTCTCAGAAAGGTAAAACTTCTTTCATACCAATGTTGCTCATCCTGAACACGCTGGGCATGCTGGATAACGCAGTCACACAAGAAAACTTTATGGATTATATGGAATATCTTCACCACTACAAAGATCACTTACAAAGCTCATAAAATTGCTATCAATATATAAATAAAAATCCATTATTGGCTCTGCAACCAATGAAAAGAATTTTGCAAGAGATGGAGCTGAGCATCAAAAATGACCACGAGTGGATGTTAACTGGACATGGAAATGGATCCTGGGGGTATACCACCACAATATCAAGTGCAGAAATGCAGAGGAACAACAAGAACAGAAACAGAGGGAGATGTGTTACCAGCCTCCAAGAATTGAGCAGACACCAATATCTTTTTAGGAGGCAGAGAGAGCTCAGCCATGCATGGCCTCAATGGTGAGGACAACAGCAAAGTCATCTGTGAGATAACACCACATGTGTACCAAGTTCTCATCTATAACAGTGTCACACTGTACAGACACCGAATCTTACTCCCAATCTGGATTCACACTTGACATCATGCAAACAGCTCACAAATGACATTAAGAAATCATGCTTTTAGGCAAAGAAAAGAGATTATCCCAAGATGTCATCCGCAGAAGTAGCCAGTCCCTGAAGTTAGGTAGGCCTGCTGGAGAAAGAATGCTTTCAACAGTATGCCACAAAATGGGAAAAACAAAAAAAGAGCTGAAGACACAGGATATGGTAAAAATTGATAGGCGTTCTGTGATGCATTTCTGAACTCATACTGGTTCAACTTTCTCTAGCCCACACTCAAGCAAAGGAAGCTTTGGAGTTCACACCTGTGATGTGGTTAAGGGAGAAGGTTTCTTTTTTCCCCCTCTTTAAACACTTTTTTGCCCCCAGACAAATGCTGCATAATTGCAGCGACAGCACAGGTTTTATTGCAAGCATTTAGAAGAATAAGTGCTCACTGACACAATGAGAAAGGTTCCTCCCCTGGGGAACAGAACATAGAGGCTGACTGAGCAACTGGTAGGTATTTAAGAATATAAAAAATACTGGCAGAGCAGGGTCACAGTTCTTACTGAAAAGGAGTCAGCATGGGAAGACAACTGGTCTGCTGGCTTCCAGCACAGTACAACATCAGTGAAGAGAAAGTTCTTAAGCATAGGGCTTTTATATACACACTCTTTGAATAGCTGAAAGGCTGCAAAGTAATCATGGCTTGTTCCACCAGAGGTATGGATCAGATGATCCTGTTCTGTCAAAATGCTGGGGCCAACCCTGGTGCTCCATTTCCCATCCTGCTTCCCCCACCAAATCCTCCAGTAGAGGCAAGGCACCATTTGCAGCTTCCACCTCATTTAGAGGACTTACCTACCACTAGCAGAACGTAGCACAAAACATACAGAGTGAGAGGATTATTTTAACATCTGAAAGACAAAAAGGAGCAAATGAGTTGGCCAAAGCTATTCAAACAAGTAACAAAGATATGCCTGGGCAGTGCAGGTTTGCTTTTGGTCCCGTACTCAAGAACACTGTACCTTGTTTCATCAATTTGGTTGATATCACTTTGGTGCTATTAAGAGTACATACAGAGGAAATAATTAGAACTTCTGTTCTTTAAAAAAGCAACAGTACTGTTCATGTGTGAAAATTCCAAAAACAGCACAAAAGAATTAATAGCAGTCAAAAGCTGAAATAACTTACATGAAAACCACAGCAATACAAGCTATAGGCCTTTCTAAACTGAAACTTTCCTTTATTTAAAAAAAATAGAATGCACCTAGTATGTCAGGATTAATTACATTTTTAACATCACAACATCAATATTTTTTAATGTAGTTAGCTGTAAAGTATTTCAATATGAAACAATGTGGAAAAATGTCTAACAAGTTTCTGCAAACATGAGAACATTTTAATTAAATCCCAACATGTAAAAATAACTAAAACACTACAAGTGTATTCAACTGTATTTGACTCCAGCATCATTCTTCTACATATCTTAACAAAAACTCTTTCTAAAAGCTTACTGGAATTCCACATTCCTACACATAGAAATCAGCTCTCATTCTGTTGAATTAAAAAAAAAAAAATTGTGAGTACCATATAGTCACATCAATTCTTTTCCAAAGAAATCTTGTCTTTGAAACTGCCAACAAAGAAAAATATTAACTTCCCTTTGCAGCTTAGGATAGCCTTGGGAAGACCTCACTGCAGCACTGTGGTGCTCGTGGGTCACACTGTGCTCTAACACAGCCCATTAGTCTTCATCTTCATTTGTGCTGCAAAGAAAAAGCAGTGGATTCGTCTTCGAAGGCACCTCCAGGAAATCCCCCTTCCCAGTAATAAGCCTGGGAAACCTGGCAGGTTCAGACACATGGTTTTCTTCTTGTTCCTGTAAAGCAAAGCCACTTGCACTGGCTAATCCTTCAGGTTGTTCCGAAAGTCTCATTGCAGTGTGCATTTGCTTTTCTAATTCTTCTATCAATTTCCCAGCAACAGAAGTAGATTGCAAAGAAGCCTTTGATTTTTCATCGCTAACCTCAAACGTTGAAGCATTTGTGCCTTGCCTTAATCCATTACAGTCAATAAGTGGAGCTGTCCTCTCTTCTTGAAGCACGCCTTGTAAAGAATTTATTTTCCCATCTTCAGCAGTTGAGGACTCTCGCTCATTTGAATCAGACCCTTCTGTCTCAGATGATGAAGTGCTGCTTGATTCTTCAGAGTCACTTGTCTCCGACTCAGAGGATGGCAGCTGTTGCCTGGAAACCACGCCAGCAGCTGTTAACTTGCTCTCTTCTTCCAGTACCAGCACTGCTGCTGCTTCGAGCTCTTCGAGCTCAAATCCTAAGTGGGACTTTGTAAGCGTGGTTTTCTGCAAGGATTTAGAAAGTGCAGCCAACTTTTTTGACCTTTAATAAGAAGAACAAAGCGTATTATTTAACTTCACAAACAGAATATTCCCAATTGATATGGAGAACACAAGCCCTAAACACTGGCTGGTCACTTGTTTTTACAAACAACTGCTTACTTCAGTTATGACTGTAAAAATAAATGTTGCACTAAAAATACCAGGATGTGTCATTACTGTTCTTGGGGGTGACTTCTCACAAGGCTGGCCATATCCCACCGAAAGACTTCAGAGATTTTCAGAAAAGAAATCTCTGATGTTTTCTCTTACTGTGTATTGCTGAAACAAGTCCACCTCTGAGGAGGCTTTCATTCTTTAAAGTGCTGAACTTGCACTGTTAATGCTCCTGGAACTATTTAATGTCTTCAAGGGTCTTCAGATTTTGTCCTGATTATACATATTTAAACAGCCTCCCAGCTCTTCTACAGGTTATTTGAAATTAAATCCAATCTGCCCTCCAACACACACACATTTAGCACCTATTAAAAACATATGCTCAATAAAAGTACAAGATTTATTTTGAGTCGCATGCATTTACTTACACAGAAAAGACAATGGTCTAATTGGAGAAGCTATCCTACAACCACACTACTTATCCCACACTTCCCACTCTTTGGGTCTGTGATATCTTCTCAGCCACCTCCGTGCCACGAGATGCTCATTTACACCGGCTGCACACTGTGCTTTACACTTTCTTTGTATTCCAGTTGAAATTTCCATTTCTTTAAGTGTTTTCAGGTCAGCTCACGCTTTACCAGGAAAGCCCATCACAGATTTATAAGCAGAGGGAAGAAAAAGCCAAAGAATGCCTTGAAATGGGTAGGCAGCCAGAGGGGAAAGCGGGTATGCAGTCCCAAGCATACATCCTGTTCCTTGTTGCACAGTTCTGCCTTAGACTATCAATCAACTTTTCACCACTTCCTGCAACAGCAGGTCTACTATAAATCCTGCAGTAACCAACTGGGTTTCATTTCCTCTGCCAAAACCTGCTAACCTGCAAGGCACGACACACTGACACCGGAGCAAGTAGCTGATAATGTAATACATGACTCCTGCGAGGCAGAAGTTAAAGCGCTCGTTCTCTCAGCTGAATGATTTTAAAGATCTTTATATTCTATTTCCCAGGGGGGATAATTACTCAGTATAACATACTCTTTTTTTTTTTTTTTCCTCCTAAAGGAATTGTATTTAAATGTGGAGGAAGGGAAATGCAATGCAATTCCTTACCCATTCTACACAGAGCAGCATTTCAAAGCCTAACTTGGAATGCAATCATTAACCTTCCTTGGACCAACCGACAGAGTGGAAAACTAAGGAAGTTGTTTACCATAAGCAACTCCAGTCTAAAAACTAAATCGTAAGTCTAAGCAACCTTCAGTGTAAACACAGGTTCCAGATTTTTCAGAAGTTGCTTACTTGGCATTATAGACACAGATCTTCTGGCATAATACTTCACTTTTTATCAGGAATTTGAACTTTAAGTTATGTAGTGTTTAAGAAGTTTCCAACCTAATTTGGAACAAAGAAAGCATTTTCCTGCAAACTAGAATGAACAAAAAAACAAACCAATGAGTGAAAAGGTTCCTAAAGCCTCACAGGTAAGCAGTAAGAATAATCTGTCTTGTAGGGAAACTTGTTCCCTGAACTCATTGGAGAGAAGCTGGTTTGTGCTTTCAGTCACCAAAGTTCACATCCCTTACAGAAAATCTTTTTATTCTTTGCTTTGGAAGGAAGTAGGGAAACAGTTTCCAACACCACGTGTGCATGTCCCCTCCCACTGTAAGGGAGGTTCATTACACCAAGGTGCAATTCGTTTATTTTGCTGTCCTGTCATATCCTTGTGGACAGCCAGGCTCCACAACCTAAATGTGCACTGTGACATAATATTCTGTACCTCTTTCACATGCAGTTCCTTCTAATTTCATGGACATCCATGAGCAATTGTATGCACAATTTCCTTTGGCAGTGCATCTTCAACTCCAGCTACCTGCTCTCCATCTGCCATTACAGACAGTCAATTTTTCAAGTTCTGTTTATCCACTCATTTCTTCTATCACCTCCTGTCACCTTGTTTCCTGAAATACTATGTGTATTTCTGTTGGTATTTCCACTACTGCACTATTTCATAGATATGTTTCCTATGAGATATTCAGTCCTTGAAATCACTTAGAATTCCCTCTTCTTTCACTGTTCTCTTAATTGTTGTTAACACCTTAGGTACAGGAACATGTCACAGGAAGGAGTCAAGTATTACAGAGATGTATGGCATTTTGAACATTTCTACATTAATAATACTCCACTGTGCTCCAGATTACTAATAATAAGAGGTGAGAAGAAAATACAGTGCCTGACACCACACACTGCTTTACTACAGTGAGATGCACTACAACCAACAGATAAAAGAATGGGCTGTGTAAAGCTGCAGTTTTTGAGCACTGTATACTCAAGTGCATTTCTGTCAATGAATTCAAAGAGAATGAATGAAAACATTGGTGTCTGACAGCAGCAGACAAACGTTGGTCTCGCTGGACAGCATAAAGCTACAAAAGGCATTCTTCTGAACAGCTCAGCTTACCTCCTAACTGATCAAAACAGAGTACAAAATAATGATTATTAACTTGTAAAACAACTGTGGCTTCAAGATTCACGTGTGCCCCTTTTTCTCAAAAGCTAGGCTAGAACTACAGGGAGAAGACATGCTTTTGATCTTTACAAAGGATTATCAGAAGATGCCATTGTTTGAACAGCCTGCCCTGCCATCCTAACAGCAACAGCACGAACACACACTCTGCTTGAATGGCTACATGTCTGCAAAAAGCCAACACCTCCATCTGTCCTCCTGCTATCTACAACTGCATTGCTTCAGTTCTCACAGCTGTGTCCCATGGAGCAGCGACAGCCAGCACCACACACAAGGTCACAGAGCACGGCTCAGAATCGAGCAAGGGTGCAGACCACGCAGACCTATGCAACCTTCTCCAACTGCATGGACACCCCAAAATCACATCAGACCAACCAGAATAGCAGTCTTCTGAGCAGTCATTAAAAACCTAGAACATTATTTTCACCAACTTTTAGTATGGTTTGAGTTGGAAGGAATCTTGAAGACTATCCAGCCCCAATCTGTCACTACGGGCTGGGGCACCTCCCCCTGGATCAGGCTGCCCAAAGTCTCATGGCTGTATTTTAGCTCTTAGCTGCATCAGGTATTTGATTTTAATTGGATTTAAAACAGCACAAAAAAGCCTCTTTTGGTTACTCAGATTTCTTAGTAGATGAAACACTTCCTCTCACCATCCGCTTTCCTCATCAAGTCTCTCCCAGAAAAAACTGGAAGTCTGCAGAGCTCAACTTTTCAAACAGAAGGAAAACCTCAAAGTCTCATACTTCTGACAAATATACAGATAAAAACAGAACTCCAGTCCCAAACTTTCCAGTTTCTTCTATGAAAAAACTAAAAAAATTGAACAACAGCACTATGGGTTGTTTTTTTTTTTTTTTCCTTCTTTTTTCCTTAGCAGAATTACAGTTAGTATATATCAGTCCATCTCAATTAAGGCAATTAACTAGTTTCAAGGAAAACAATTTCAGGAGTGCACTACACATCAGCCTTAAGATATTACTCTCTGGACAAAAACAAGGCAAAAAGCACAGGAATCAGAGCATGGAAATGCTTCTGAGAGGTACCGACTCTGAGCTGAGGATTTCCTTGGCTGAAAAGCAAGCAAAAATTAAGGAAACAAAAATGAGACACCAGCAATGAGATATCATGCACTACAGATTTGCTGTAAACAAGTCCCGCTGCTTCCAAAATCTTTGGAGTAGCATTTTAGAGATTAAACAGCAAATACTTTAATTTTTCAAGTATGATTAATGGAATTGCATGATTACTTTAAGACACGCTCATTCACTATGCGCATTTGTGGTAATGATATCTTATTATTATGGTAATAGTGTTCTTACATAAACCTGCCTAGTAGGCTTTAAAGGTGCCACACAAGGTAATTATTAGTTATCAAGATGTCAGTTGCTTAAGGAAAATGTTTAATTACAGGTTAAATGATCAGATGCGTGTTTTGTTTAAGGCACAGCTTTGAGGAACAGGTAACAACAAGGCATCTCGGGTCGTCTGAAATTAAGATTTCAAGGCAGAGGTGCTGTAAAATCCTGGTCTAGAAAGCAGAAGAGTTTCTCCATGGGCTAGAAGAAAAAAAAAAAAAGTTTCATACATCTCAGATTGTAAAAGACTAGCAATTGTGTGAAAAGAAAGTATCAGAAGAGCTTTTGCAGGGAGGTTCATCAACAGCTGGAAGCCCACCAAGCAAAGTCACCATGCCACAGAAGGTAAAGAATAAACACAGGACATGGGGACACATCCAGACAAAACGCTCTAGTTTTCTAGGATCTAGAGGATTTCTAGTGTTACAGTAAAACTAAGTAACTATGCATCTCTATACCTTCAGTGAGAAATAGCACAAAAAGGTTTTAAAGTAGCCTTTCCATCTTCCTTGCATCCAAATCTCTTGCCTCAGTAGCTCAGTTATGTAAAAAAAAAAACCCAAAAAACAAAAAAACAGAAAACTTGAATATATGAAATCAGCACCCTACACTTCATTCTCTGTGAGGTATGGAACTGCACACTTGATCATGGCGTGCAAGTTGCATATAGAAAATACTGTGCAAAGTATTCACAAACATGGGAGTAAATAGTCAACTGGCCTGACAGCCTTTAAAAACTGGAGCCAGTAATATTTCACTATGCAACAGAACATTTGCTTGTAGGGGTACAAGCTGTAGCTTGCTGCTGTTTTTGTAAACAATGAAAATTATTTCTACTAATCATAAGTGTGTCTTTGCATTTACAGATGTATACAAACATCAACTTTTCTGAAGTTTGTGGTGCAAACTAGGTGTAAAACAGATAGCAAACCACAACTGCAGTGCAATAGGATTTTCCTCCTGTCTACTATTGCTCAATCACAACCAAGTCAGTGTACAGAGCACATGTGCTGTCATAGCAGATTGAGCTGTTCACGCTCAAGTACAGTACGAAAGCAACAAAGCACAGAAACCTACATAGCAGACATTGACAACAGCTTTGGTTACCAGCCTGGTGCTTAAATGTGACCCAACTGGTCTTGGAACCAAGATTTATAACTGAAATCTTGTTATATGATGCTGTTCCAGTGTGGTTAGGGCCTATTAATTGTGTTACAATGGGAATCAGTTCTCCACGCTAGCAATGCTAACTTGGTTCCACAGAGCTGACAAGCCCTGTTTTACATGTAAAACACCTTACATTAATTATCTGTAAGCCTTACAGGCCAGATAAACAAGTCTCAAAGAAACAGTAGATACTTCAAGTGCAGACTTGCCTTTGTAGCATTGTAAGTTTTACCACAGAAGAAAATGGGCCTGATTTATTGCCAAGCAGCAGCCCTGGTAGGCCAACAACTCCTCAAGATGTATTCAACTACAACCAGCATCATGCTGTGCCAGTCAGCAGAGCTGACAAACACAGAAGAGTTGGGTAACTTGCCTCCAGCCAAGGCTCTGGACACCTCAGATTCATCTCACAGCAAAGCTGCTGCATTAAGCTAAAGCCTTTCTTTCTGACTGCTGGATCACACAGCACTCCCAGCTGTCTAAATGTTACACAATTACTGCATGAGAAGTTACTCAGTTTTAGGAGAAAGCCCCAGTCTATATTTAAACTACCTTTCCCAACAAGGCCTGGCAAAATTCACACTTATGAGAGAGTTTCACACACCCATTTTCTGAGATAAAACAGGTAAGATAAGCAGTAGAACCAGCCAAGAGCACAACCACTTTAAATGTTTCCAAATTACACACCTAGCAGCATTAATTACAACTTCCCACAACTACTCTTTAGCTAGAGGTATCATAAGAATTAAAGCAATTCTGGAATTAATACTATCTCAGGCATCACCAGATACTATCCCAAAGCAGAGTCCCAGCAGTTCAGATGAAGAGGGCATGGAAGTGGAAGTATGTACAAGATACTAAAGCATGAGTTGAACTATAAGGAATACCAGTTACCCACCTTGCAGCAAGACTGGGTGAGGACTGGCTGCAATACATCACTGGTGCTGCGCTGTCACTGGCAACCAACAAGATCAAACATCTCTCCACACTTGAATCATTACATATATTTTTTTCTTTCTAGCTGTTTGAAATTGTTTTTCCATGATTATGATACAGAACTGAAGGACAATTTGATTTTAATAAAATACTCAAGACATGAAAAAGGCCAAGTTTGATCAACTCTGACTGTAAAACACAGAAGCAATAACAAGAATGGCATTGGCTGCAGAAGATAACTTCATTAATGTAGAAACACCTGGATCAACAGGCACAGACAAGCAAGAGTGGTCACTAATAAAGATTTGATAATATAAAAATCCTCCAGTTCAGGAAAATAATCCTTACAAATGGACATTTATCAGCAATCATAAGAAACTCACACTAAACACACCATTTATTTGCCCAAACTACTACAGTCACAGGTTAGGAAAGAAAACAAGCTTCAGAATCTGCACAGAGATAAGAGTCTCTGATTCAATTATACCTTATGGCATCTCATATAAAACACTTGCTATATTTCACCACATTTTATTCCCCTTCCAAGGTCATTCTTAATGAGTGCTTCACTATTCAAGGACTTCTAACCCCACAGAAATTGTTTTGAAAAATGCAAGCACAGAATGAGCCCCGCAGTGCTTAGGAGACTTCTAACAAGGTTTGTTTGCTGGAAGCAGCAGTGAAACCCCACCACCAAATCGAGCTCTGAAAGTAATTCATGGCAGAGACTGTAGTCCTGGGACATTTTAAACAGCAACAAACGCTTTGCCTATCTGCAAACCCACTACATTACAGACCATAATAATGATCTGCTCTTACTGCAAAGTACCTTACATACCCTTTTCCTCCAATTTCCTGCAAGACTGGGGAACTACTCACAGATTTTATTTTGTCCAGTTCTGGGAACACAACCAGCCTCAACAGCAAAGCATGGCTAAAACTTAACGAAGCAGAACAACACTACCCTCAAATCTGAGGCATGAAGTGGAAAAGAAAATACACCCATTAACTGACGCAAAGGGCAGCTCTTTCTTGGAAAGAAGCACATTCATTCAGAATACAGATAATATTTTATCCTTGTACAGACAATACCACAGGTCCCTAATGAACAGCAAAGTCTCAAAGTCAAACATTTTCCATTCCCTCCTACAAAAATGGAGAGTAATTCCAGAAAATTCCTTAAGAAGTTATTTACAGAACAAGTAACATCTACTAAATCACTGTTCCCAGATTTTTTGTTGGTGTTACCTTATCATTACTACTGAAACAAACCTTCTTAAAGGTGGTCCATCAGAATACTGCTTGCCTTATGAGATCTGAAGAACCACAGCAAAGGCAGTGCCATTAACAGCCAGCGGGATAACAGAAGCTGCACCATTCAACAGTTCCACCTACTTAGTTTATTATACGTTTTTATAGTGAGAGGCAGAACCAATAGATAACCCCATTAAAATCTCATTAGCTCTGATCAATGAGCAGCAAAGGTAATGTAAGAACAAAGCTGAATTTAATGTGTTTGTGAAGGAGAAACAGAACAATTTTCTTCAGGACTCAGGTAAGAAATTGACCTGAACTTTAACTAATCTTCCACATTACCTGCAGCAAAAGAAAGACAGATGAGTGTAAACACAACACATTTGTTCATGTGATGTAGTACCAGGTTACCCACTGCCTTTGTAGGAAATGAACAGCCTCCAGAACCCAGAGCTAAGAACAACTCAGTTTCTAAGTTTCCTTATGAAAAGCCAGGGGCTAAAATAACATGGCCGGTGTATTTGGGATATTTTATGCAACAGCACATAAAAATTAATTCTTCTCTCAATTTCTCAAGGTAATGGATTGTGATTTCTAGCCTAAATAAGTTGGGTCTATGCAGTTAGGTGATCTTTACACTTAGTGATGATTTCTCTTGTAACAACTCTTAAATAATAGGCAACTTTAATCAAATTTGAGAGGCTAGAAGTTGAAAAAGATCTTCAAATTCCTACATATTTGATGAAAATATTCAGAGGTAGATCTGAAATAATCACCCCTACGACAAAAGGCAGGGAGAACGTGGCTATGCGTGCAATGGTTTGGAGGGAGACCACAGCATGGCTATGCCAAGGAGCTCACCTCTACTCAGCTACTGCACGTGCTGCCTCTTGCACAGTGGAAGTGTTGAAGGACATGAAGAAACCAGGGCACAAAGACTGGGATTGTTGTACAAAGGTTACAGGCTCATTTTTCCCTTCTTCCCTTGCAGGCATCAAGTTGGAGATTGGAAGAAGTATTCACTGCACACCAAATCTTTACCTTAAACATAGGAAAACCACACGATAAAACGGGGGCACTGAGTTCAAGACATAGTCTGGAAAATACATCTCTCTGTACAAGAGAGAACAGCCAAGAGAAACCTACCATATGTCTCCAGGTAGCAGACAGCAGTCCTGAGCACAAAGCAATGGCTGATGTGGAAGAGTCCAACGGGCTTAAGGGAAATATAAAATGCTTTCATCTCGAAATTCTGCATTTCAAAGGGCACTGCATGAATTCAGGAGTTAAGAGCGATGCGCTGCAATCCAACCTGCAGCCTTGTAAACATGAACTGCTATCTACATAGCTTAAAGTATTACAGTTTGTTAAACATAAATCACATACAAAGCACAGCACCATCATTTCAATTTAAGTGACTGTATGTTAATAAATCTGAGCATTTCAAGTGACTTTCCACATTTTTTCTGAAATTCCACAGCACTCCTTTTATAATGAACCTGAATACTGTATGAGCTGAACTTCACATTTATAAATATTTTAAACAAAGATGAAGCTTTCCAGTATAATATTTTAATTACTTAGTCTTGCTTGGTCTTTTTGGTTAGTTGCAACTATGCATATCACATTGTAAAAGAAATCAAGTACAGCTTAGTTCTGTGTAAATTATTATGAAAGCATTCATAAGAAAAAACTTGTAATTAATACTGGACTCTAAAAAGGAATCACTGTTTATACTTTAGGAATAGTTTAGGTGAGCTTAAAAACAGTTCAGTGTTGCCAAAATAGCTTCAGTGAGTCGAAACAAGTGTAAACGTCTAATAATGGCACAGCTCCCAAAGTTC